ACTCCTACTATTATATAAAGAAATTAAACAGTTTCACCCTTAGTAAATGGAAGCAGCACGCGACTGGCTATCTCTTTCTGTTTGAACATTACATAAAATTTAAAAACATTTCTTCATATTTTCCCAAGAGCAGTCATGGATGAAGCCTCAATGATAAGCCAAATTTTTCATTCACATAGTGCTCATGCAGAGAACTTTTCTCACGGCATTGATGTACATAGTTCATTCTTAATCCTTTTCAGCTACAGAATTTACCTTTCTCCTGAGTAGTTTGTTATTATTAGGACTAAAAAGTGGCCACAAATTGCTTTACATTAGAGAAATCTAAAATGAATCTTATCTTGGAAGATGACTTGATAGAGGTCCTAGTGGCATAAATATCCTTTATTAGAATAATTTTTCTTGGTATAAACATGAAAGTCCTCTACTTCCCCAACAAGGTTGTTTACCAAAAATATCGCTATTAGTCTTTCATCAGAAACTTTACACTGTCACAACAACTTTTTTCTTCTCTAAATCAACTAAAATTTATATTTTGCCACTGTCTTTTTTTTTCACACTGATTTCAAGGGCATCCATCATGGGAATAAAGGATTTTACCTGCAATTTAATTTTTAAGAAAGCGTCATCATCATTTGCTGCATCACCATCACTGAATGTTTTTTCACTTCTCTTTATTCACACATTATAGTCTACATCATTATCAAAAACATTCATCAAAAACATTCTAGGATTTATTTCAAGAAGTTAGTGATCAATGCAAAGCTTGTACATGTGTTAAGGCCAATCTGTGGATCCCTTTAAGGTCTTGTTGAAGCCAGGAAACATTCAACCGCCACTTTGAACATACATCTCTAGTTCTCAGTTTCCCAAGAAGAATATATCAGCTTTCTTGTTTCACCTCTTTCACTGTCATTAGTGTATTAATTTGGGGTATACATGAGTAAAAGCATCACAGTAATTGAATTATTGTATAACTCACCATGGTTGAAGTAGCCCTTGCACTAGTTTTCCCACCTAGTTTAGTGTTAGAAGATGTTTTGGTAATTATAGGAGTCTAGATTCAAGAATTTATAATTGCCCAGGGTTTTGTGGTAGAGACCAATTACAAATTAGCATCTGCACTGGTAATTCAAACTGAGTCCAACTCTTGGGTAGTTTTACCAATGGAATGAAACCTATCTCAACTGTAAACCCTAGTGAAATACCTGGACTAACTCTCGACTTTCTTCATCTGGAGAATAAATTGTAGATAATATAATTAGTAAAATTAATGTTAGATAAATAATTGTTGGTAGAAATGCCATATGTCTCAGCTGATGCTCATAGCAACTTTGTTTGGCACTCTACAAAGTCACTTAGACTATTCCTGACTGACATATTACACCTGCCTAACACAGAAGCCAAAAGTCAAATTAAAAAAAAAATTTAAAAACAAGGCAGCGAGGTTTATTCTTGACGGAATGCAAGAGATCACATTGTCCTAGAGTTCTTCAAATCACTGAAAATGTTATGTGACAGATAGAGTGAAGCAACTGAGTCTGAATCACTCTTAATAGGATATCTAAATAAACTGTACAGACTATTTAACACCAAATTTGTAAGGATTAGGATATGAACCGCAGGCACCAGGAGGGAGGGAACATAATTTTGTGGTATACCGCATCTGGTGCTTACATCTGCCAAAGAACACTTTCTTCTTTCACAGCTATAAAAAGACTGAAACAAGTTAACAACAAACCAAGCAGCACATCAAAACTGCAATAGTGTAAAA